CAGAGGAGTCTGAGGTTTGATTCCTGGAGACGGACGGCTGATGGAGACGCAGAGATCCCGTTAGTCCCGAATTCATTACATCACAGAAAACGTTTTAGTTTTAGATAGAAATAATAATCCTTTGATGATTCCTTCCTGACCGGACTTTTCCTTTAAAGCCAATTATTTATTATACTTTCCAGTGTCCTGTCTGGCGATGTGGCAATAAGAATAATTATCTTGATGCCAAAAAGAGCCCAACAGATTTTCCTTTCACCAGTGGAGCAGTACGGCTTTGTGTTTCAGTTTGATTAATCCATATAAATAAGTTTATCAGGATTCATGCAGGGAGTTTTACAGATTATATGGACGCTGCAATGTAAGTAGGAACAGGAAAGGAAAAATAGAAAAAAAGGAGAAAAGATGAAAGAAAGAGGAGATAAAATGGAGATAATGATAAAACATCTTCAGTCTGCTTCATCACCTGCAAAGAGATGGAAACAGAACAGAACAACCAACAGATATAAGAGATACAATAAAGTAACACCTAGATACTATCGCTGAAGTATAAGTAGTATCATTTAATCTGACATGTATACTGTGTTACCTGAAGATCAGAATATGGGCTTTCTGTGTGGAAGTGAATCTCTGAGTACCTGGAACCAAACGCCTGTAGTTTATGAGAGTGCAGTTGTGCATGTAAAGTTTTTCAAAGGGAAAATGCTCAATGGTGGTTGTGGAGAGCTAAAGACGCGCCCCGCCAGAGGCCAGCGCCGGGGGACCCAAAGCCCCAGACGCCCAAAGGGACCCCTAAGGCCGATTATTTAGACATCAGTCTAATCAATTCCTGTGGTGATTTATCTTCCTCCATTTACAGACATACATAATAAAAAATAACTAATGTTTATTTAAAAACAGATGAAAGGAAACATCAATAACAGGAATCTGATGGAGGAAGCAGCACAACATGTCCGTCACATGATGTTAAGGCTTCAATGCTGAACGCACAGATGAATCGGCCGACGCCTGCATCTATCGGCCGTTACCGAACCAGGAAAAAACGCTGATAAATCAAATCCAACTCTGGAAGCTTCTCTGCAGGACGAATGACAGGAAGCAGCTGGAAAAACATCACTTCCTGTAAAGGTTCATAAAGACCTGGAGGATGAGTGAAGAACTTGGAGACATGGAGGGGGACCACCATGTCTCCAAGTCTGCTGAGGTGTTTCTGGAGTCCAGCTGTGGTCAGGTCACCTCCTGACCTGATCGACCCAAACAGCGGAGCTTCATGGAGCCAGGATCAGCAGATCAATCGATCAATCACTTTATTGTCAAAAACATTTTGAAAGAAACATCTTAAACAACACCGAGATGTTTGGCCTCCACTCTGACAGAGAAGCATGGTGGTGGAAGCATGATGCTGTGGGGCGTCACCGACATCTGCAGGGTTCTACACTCCAAACCTCCGGAGTTTCCATCAGAACTTTGAGCCGCTGAACCAACCCTATTTCCTTTTATCCGGTCCTGGAAAGTTTTGGAGACTTTTCCAGGACGGGAGCCTGGATCCTGGGAAAAATGAGAACAAACTGACCTGATGAGCTTCTGCCCCTCGAAGCCTCTCAGCGTGGCCCACTGGCCATAGCACCGACCGTCGCCCCCTTCAGGGCAAGCTGACAGGGGTTTCCACGGCAACGCATCGGAGCAGGCACTCAGGGCGTCGGGCAGAGACCCGCCGGGCATCATGGGAAACGGGACGGCGCCGTAGGCGGCCACCACCTGGGACACGTCACCCGATTAATGAAACAATCGGACGGGAGGGCGGGAGGAGGGGAGGGGCCTTACCTTCCTGCCCGACACGGCCAGGGAGTCCGCCACCTGCCACATGGGGGCGCCGTTGTTCCTCAGCCTGTAGGGCACGGTGAGGGCGTCCAGCGCCAGAGCCAGCACCGAGCTGGAGTGGTACCAGAGCGCCGGCTGCAGAAAGACGCAGGAGGAGCGTCAGAGGGCGGAGCTTCAGTTAAAGACACACCCCCCCACCAGGTTACTCACATCGTAGGCCAGGAGGGGAAACTGTGGAGGGGGGGCGGGTCGCCTGCCCAGGCCCCCCCGCAGCGTCAGCGGGCAGAACAGCGAGCTGTGAGCGGCCATGTGGGCGGAGCCAAGAGCGCAGTTCAGCAGGTGGTAAAGATCCCGGACCGGACTCTGAATCACAGGACAGTTCTGATCACCAAAAACCCGCTGCCCCCGAACCACAACCGCCGCCGCCGTCACTCACCGAGTCCCGGTGGCCCACAGGAGCCAGCCCCCACGTCAGGATCCCCCTCCCCCCATACGAGTCCTGCAGCAGCTCTGTGACCTTCGACCCCAGGCCCGCGAACCCGTCCGCCAGGTCACACAGGACCTGGAAACCCTGAGACAGACACAGAGGGAGGTCTGTGGGAGGTCCGAGAGGAGGAGGAGGAGGAAGAGGAGGAGGAGGAGGAAGAGGAGGAGGAGGAAGAGGAGGAGGAGGAAGGGTACCTGAAGATAATCACATTCCTCCACAAAGAAGTGCAGTTTGTCCTCCAGCTCGTCCAGCGGCGCCCCCTGCAGGACGGACTCCCCCTGACCGAAGGCCTCCAGACGATGAGCCTCGCTGCTCCAGCAACAGAAGCCGATTGGTTCGTTAAGGAAGAAAAACTGATGATGTCAGAGCAGCGAGGAAACCAACACATTTCCATCAGGTTTGACAAAAACATTTAAAAAACAACAACAAATGACCTGAGATAGAAAACATCACCCGCTGCTGAGAGATGATGTCACTGACGTAGAAAACATAGAACTGTAGTAACTAGATTGTGTATAAATGACTGGATCGGCACCAATCAGCAAAATCTGATCCAGATTATTAGAGAATATCAGTGAAAGCAGAGCAGGAAGGATGGATGGATGGATGGATGGATGGATGGATGGATGGATGGATGGATGGATGGATGATGGATGGATGATGGATGGATGGATGGATG